GACTTATTTGAAAGTCGTCTGGGCAGACGACTTACGAGGGCTAGAAACGTAAAAAAAATTCGCGTTTTTTGTTTGTTCACAAGGAGTTGGTTGTAATTTCAATAGCCTTTTAAGTTACTTTTGCATTTGATTCAAGTTTGGGTTTACTTTTGCATTTCAAATCAAGTTTTGAGTCATATTTGGCAATTTTCCCTATATACACTATACGTACAAATACAATATACATGTACAAGATAATGCACACTCTTTAGTTGTGTACACATGCATACTTTAAAAATAATATTATATAGTATCCACATATTTTATCGAACATTTAGTTTGCGTTTTTGTTTGATTTTCAGACAGTACACAAATGCAATACGAATGTATACTGTTTTATTTTTAAAATAGAACTACATATGATATAATGTTTTAGTTTTGAAATTTATAACTAATAGGAGTATAATGTTAATGCAGTGTGCATGGTCCAGCAGTAATGGGTCTCAAATGTTTCCTCACTCTTTTTTCGATACTCGTGTTTGCTTATTTTTGCTTAATTTTAGTAATTTAAAAAAAGTGGAAATTTTGTAATTAAATCATTATTTTAAAATTAAGGCTTTTTGTTTGTTTCTGCAACTACATCATCTCGGAGCTAATTGATCTTCTTAATGAAATCTTTATGTTTTTGATGATTTTACCTTCAAAACTTACAAATGTTATATAGATAAATCGATTTTATTCAATAGAGAAACACAAAAAATAAGATTTCTCATAATTTTCAAATTCCAATAGATTATAACCAAAAATTCATGTTTCTTCTCAAGCTTTTATTTCCCTCCCCCATTTTTTTGTCACCACGTTCCTAAAGATTTCTTTCGGTTTGTAAAAAAACTAAGCAAATTATGTTCAAATGAATTTTGTGAGTAAATTCAAAAGATGAAAGTGTTTTGATGTTTTCTTAAATTTTTAAAATAAATATAACATAAGACAACAAAAAGAAGAAGACAGATTTGGTTTGTTTTAGTCAAAGTAAGTCTATAAACTAACAACAAAAAACTATCTCAGTAATTGAAATGGAATAAAAACTCACAATATGTCATCAATTTTTCTTTTGTTTCATTCACTTTGTTTGATATCACATTTATCTTCTCTTACGAATTTTTAGAAGTTATTATACATGTATCGCATAATCCTCAAAATTGTAAAAAACAAATTATTAAATTTAATCTAAGAATATCAAATAATACTTCTTAAGTTTTTAGATCCGACCATTGTTTCTCTTTACTTGTTCCAAATCTCTTTCACAACTAATAGAAAAAACCGAACCATATTCTTGAATCGATGCCAAACTCAGTGATGTTCTTGAACCACAAAATATTAGCAACCAGCTACACTAGAGGTCTAGAACAATATGTCTAAACCCAAATTTGATGCAGTGATGAAGCAGAACACCCACTAACAATTATCGGCTGATGAGTCAGACATGAAATGTTGCTGACGTGGCTAAAACCTTGTATTTATGACGTAATAATAAAATATTCTCTCTCTCGAAGTGCGGTTTTTTCTGCTTCATCAATCTTCCGAAGAAGCTAAAGGTCTCACCTTTATTATCAACACAATCACTAAACAGAAGAAAGAAGAAGAAGAAGAAGCATAGGAAGAAGAAGAAGATGCTGTTTCAGGTGGGAGGAGATGGCACACGCCCTACCTTCTTCGAGATGGCTGCGGCTCAGCAACTTCCAGCTAGCCTCCGCGCCGCTCTCACATATTCACTCGGCGTAAATTCCATAAATGCCCTTCTTCTTAGATTGAGATTCATTACATATCATTGGTTAATTTGTTGTTTCAATGTTTGTAATTTGTAGGTTTTTGCATTGAGACGAACGTTTCTTCACAAAATCTTAGACTATGAAGATGAGTTCTATGCTGCTTTGATGCTTATCCTTGAAGGGCATAGCTTAAGAACCACAGGTAGAGATTCTGTGAGAAGTGTTTTGTTACTGTTTTCTGCTTATTAAAGTTTGGTCTTTTATTAATTGTTTGCAGATGCTTCGTTTGCTGAATCATTGTATGGTTTGAGGAGGAAGTCAGTGAGATTGAGATTGAGGAAAGACTCTGGTGAAGAAGTTAAGCATTCTGGTTTAGAGAAACGCCAGAGGATCCTTTCTGTTGTGTTTCTGGTAAGTTTTTTGTAATTGGGTGTTCTGTTTAAAGCATAAAGTTTGTGTCTTTTGGCTTTTAAATAAGTGTCTTTTTTTTGTTAGGTTGTGTTACCGTATTTCAAATCGAAGTTGCATGCGATTTATAACAAGGAGAGGGAAGCTAGGCTCAGGGAAAGTTTATGGGGAATGGAGGATCAAGGGTTTGATGAAGTTGACTTCTTTGCAGGAGAGGAACCGGTTGTTTCAGGAGGGGATAGTGGGAATAATCAAGAGCTTTCTGTTAGAGTGCAGTTAGCTACGAAGATTAAAAAGTTTATAGCTCTGTGCTATCCTTGGATACATGCATCAAGTGAAGGTTAGTCATGGGTCTGACTGTATATTAGCTGATGATTATCTATAGTAGTTAGGGGCAATTCTTAGTTTACCTTGTTGAGCTTCATATTATGCCTAGAGTTGTAATCTTGGTTTTCTAAATTGAAATCACAATCTGTGCTATTGGTTTGGATGGAAGTCTGAGTAATGTAGTTTAGGCTTGCGTTTGCTTTAATATGATACATGAGGATTCATATAGGATCTCTTGCATCTTTTAACTTATCTGGGATGAACTGGGCTTTTCTGCAGGATTATCATTCAGTTACCAGCTCTTATATTTACTGGACGCTACTGGATTTTATTCTCTGGGGCTTCAAGCTCTTGGGATTCAAGTTTGTCGAGCTACAGGGCAAGAACTGGTATCCACTTTCTCCTTTCTGCTTGAAATTTCTCGTCACCAGTATTATTGTTTGGTTTGTTTCTAGTCGAAGGAGGTTTAAGCATAATGTAAGAAACGAAAATGCAGTTACGTTCGTTCTAGGATATTCTATTATAGTCCTCAGATAATTAATGATCCTGACCTTTGTTGTACGATATAATCAGAACTCTGAAGTCCACTGAAGTTTCTAGATATCTTGCTGTGATAAACGTGAACCTGTAATTTCACATATGTTATGTCTAACACACTTTTGTCTTGATCTTTTCCTCTTTTGATGCCAAAATAGATGGATACGTCTTCAAGAATTTCAAAGATACGGAACCATGAGCGTGAGAGACTTCGTGGTCCTCCATGGTTAAAAGTATGATTTTAGTTTTCTTAATCTAAGGAATGAGATAGTCTGATTTAACTGCTTACACATTAATGATCTAACGTCTGACAACACTGTTTTCAATATTGAATTAGACAGTGCAAGGGGCTCTTCTTACCTGTTCATATGCAGTACTTGACTACGCCCAAACCGGTTTAATTGCAGCAGTTTTTATCTTTAAAGTAAGCACCCATGCGCTTATATTAGACTGGATTTTGTATTCTACAGCCATATCTAATTGCTATATCTCTCAGTAGATTTTTTTTTGTCACATAGATATTTTATTTGAACATAGTTGTCTTGTTACTTTATTTGGTTTTGTAGATGATGGAATGGTGGTATCAATCAGCTGAAGAGAGATTAACAGCTCCAACCGTGTACCCTCCACCTCCACCTCCTCCAGCCCCAAAGGTATTCATATCAATTGGTAGCAATATCTGAAACTAATGTACATCTTTAGCTCAGTCAACTTTGTAAATGCAGGTGGCTACAGACGGAATCCCTCTACCTCCGGATAGGTCCCTCTGCGCGTTATGCTTGCAAAAACGTGCAAACCCGTCAGTTGTCACAGTCTCTGGATTTGTTTTCTGCTATGCTTGCGTATTTAAGTATGTTACAAAGGTGAGTTCTCCAAATGGTTTCTCTCTGTTCCCAATAACCACTCCTCGATATAAAGCTTATGTTTGGTCTTCTGTTGTGACAGTACAACCGATGTCCAGTGACAATGATTCCGGCAAGCGTGGATCAGATAAGGAGGCTGTTTCATGACACTTAGGAACAATCTATTTAATGGTTTGAAGCCAAACGGTAAGAGCTTTGTTCTCAATCTCGGGTTGGAGATGCCGCAGACAGAGTCTAAAGAGCCAAAAGTCTTCCAAGTGACACTCCTAATTCCACAATTGGTTTATGTATATTTATATAAATTGTTTATGTTCATCAAGTTTTGGATCAAGTGCATTCTTGTATTGCGAGAAAGCTGTGTTGTAACCAAAGCTCAATTTAATGAAAACGAATAAATCAAACATGTTTTTCTTTTCCTTTACTTTCACAAGCAAACATCGTTGTGCTACAACTACGTGTTGTTCTCACACGAGACTTCCAAAGAAAAAATATTGTCTTCCCAAAACATTGTGCCGTTCAAGTGGCTGCTTCCATAGCAAACAAACGGCATCAGTGGAAACCCATTGAAGGGTGAGCCGGTTTATAAATCAAGAAAAGTAAAGCTTGTTGTGTTCATTGTGAGACAAGGAAGGTTACGACCTTAGGGAAAATAGTTCGCAGGTGATTATGTTGTCCAGCGAAGCAGAAGAGTTTCCAACACCAAGGACCGGGACGAGATTGAATACAGGTTCTTTCGAGCTGTCCATAGTAACTCCATGACTCATCTCGTTAAGCTCTTTGAATGCAGTTTCGAAAATGTCAGATAATCTCTCTACGGACACACCAAGACTAGTAGAGAAGTGTATTCTTAAGCTCTGCATCAACAAAAGTAAGATATAAGCAAAGCTTTGGATGGACTGACGCTGTGTTCAAGAAAATCATTCTTACCGTCGTGTCTTGCCAAGAGAAGGAATTTTCAGACAAGGTTTTGTTGAGAAGATATACACAGAATCTCGATACTTTCTCCAGTTGTTTTTCTTCTCCGGAAGTTTCAACAAGCTTCCTCATCACTTCAGCCGAGATAGAGAGAACTGTCACACATATTTTCCCATCAACAACTCGTTTCTGCACACAATCTTGGTGCCATTTCTCTGGCTCATATCCCAAACAACTGTAGTCTCCTTCACCCAATTGTTCTTGTCTGGTTTCATCATCCTCTGAATCTTCTTCCACGTATAAGACAGGTTTCACTTCAACAAGAGCCCTGCAGAACAACAGTTCAAAATCTAAGATTCACAGACAATAACATGAGATTCTCTGCAGTGTTCAATACCTTTTGGGAAGATCAGGGACAAGGATATAAAGGAAAATAGGATCGATGACTTTGGATACCCTCCGAGAAGACTTTGCCAAATCCAAGAAGGAAACAAACTTTTCATGAAGTTGGTTCTTCTCTGATTGCGTTGTGCGTGCTGAACAGAATATAACAAAGAGAATAGCTGATGAAGAGATCGAGCATCTAAACGTCTCTGCTATTGCCTCACTGTTCTTCAATGCTTGATTCAGCTCAGCAACTGCGCCTTCATTTCGAAGATTCATCGTGGGAGGGTCAAGCCCTAACTGTCCAGCCATATGAAGAACACCCTTGTGCAAAGTGGCCTGAAGAAACGTATTGGGGTAAATGAGTTTTCTGATAAAAAACTTGAGCTTCATTTAGAAGTGGAGAAGAAAATGTTCACCTGACTGTAAGGTCCGATGCAGCTAGGTGCCCAGGAAGAGATACTCTGTACATGAAGAACCCTTTTGCTGTGGTCATTCGCGACTAAAACCTCAACGTAAGATTTTCCAAGACCAGCTTGTACCAAAGGAAGCTCTATTGTACTACGTGAAGGAACACCAAAAGGGCACTTCTCTTGGGTGATAAACTTCACATATGTCTCATTCGCCACAGCAAATTCATTCATATCAGAGATATAAAGATGAATGTACAAGACATTCTTCCAGTTAAGTCCATGTTTCAAAATCTGCGTCTCAATTTCTGTAAGAACAGTCTCAAGATCTTCTTTCAGACCTGTTCAAAGTGTATAAAACCAACATCAAGTCATGTGCGCGAGCATCTTGAAGATTAAGTCTGTGTGTTACCTGTTGAAGATTCACTAGAATCTTTCAGCCAGCAGCAAATGGAGAATGTGTTTTCTTTTCCGGTCTTTGATAAGTTAACTCTGGTTCTTTTATGTTCAACTACATCAACGATTCCATTATCTAGTTGGTGAGTAGATTCTGGTGTGTTAGGACCATCTCCTTGTACCTCAAACACCAATCCTGGCTCATCCTCAAGGGAACCAGGGTCTGGATTTCCTTTCTTCTCGAGATGGAAGATGGTTGGATGAAGAACTCCAACAGGTGCAATAGAATCTGGAGAGTGTAGAACAACTTGAAATTCATCAAGCACGATTCTCGCTCTCTGAGAAAACAGAAAATTGTCAAACTACAAACAAATGTAATCAAAGAATGAAGTAAAAAATTGTGAAGATTGCTAAGAAGACATACAGTGAAAAGCGGACAATCAAGAGTCAAAGTCTCATATTCTCCTCCTTCACCACAAACATTACTTCCATATAACCTAAGTAAAGATACATTCAGAAGCCACATAATCAATGTAACACAACTAGAAAATAAAGACTCTCATTGAAGCATTAAAAGAAAACTGTGGCATACTCTTTCAACTTCAAAAGATGTGGTTCCATGAAGGCTAAGTCTTTCCCTAAATGCTTCGAGGGATCCAACCCTATTGCCGCCACCTGTTAACATGAAAGAAACCTTAATCATAAGAAAATGTCGATGTTAACAGAATTAGGAAAATATAACAGCAAATCCTTATTACCTTGACTAAAATAGCTTTGATCCCATTAGCTATCTGCAAGTAAACGAGAAAAGAATTAAAGAAGTACCAATTCAAAAGGGAAAAATTTGAAACTGAAACAGGCGGTTTACCATTTCCTGAAGAAGCAAAGTCTGGTCTTGTTTCCACAAAAACGCCAAAGAAACAAGACCTAACCTTGAACAAATACTTTCCACACGGAGACGTTGGTAGTCTGATGCAATGGCACCAGAAGATACTGCAGTGATAGAAGGTATCTGTCTCTTCACTTCACTTAACAACACAAACATATCTTCCACTTCATCATCCGGAGTCATTTGGTAACTAAGTTTCTGATGCCTGCAAACATTAAATCCTCAGAATAATTCTCCAACTAACAAAATGAAAAAAGGATTAGAATCTTCTCAAGCAAAAGCCTAAACCTGGAAGAACCTCGGATTCTCCTTCTGAACAATGGCACATTCATGCATTCTGCATAGCTCACAATAATCTGGTGTCCTACCTGAAGAAGAGACATCCAATCAAAAAATTAAATTCAGATTCCAAATTCATAAACTGACAATATCTAGTCTTAGCCTTCTAAAACAAAAACTAATCATGATACATTGATCAGATTCATATAAACACACCTATAAATAAATAAAAAACTAATCTTTCTCACAACCCTTGTTCAAGTTCAATTAAAGCTTCCAGCTTTCCCTCACAATCATCAACCATTCAAGACAAAATAAGAAAGCAGACAAGGTCTTACAGTTTGATACATGTAGCTGTCCAGTTCATCAACCGAATCATCAACCGGTAACAAGTTAGCCAATGCAACGATCTGTGGAAACACAACATATAAGCAAAACTCAAGTGAGATTTAAAGTTTATATATCATCAAAAAGACACAAACTTGTTTAAGATAGTAACAACAAGTAAAGAGAAGTACCTCGTGACCGTACTGGATACACTTCATCATAACATAGCAGCTATCTTTGCCTCCACTCACTAAAGCCACCACCTTCATCTCTCTCTCTCTCTAGTTGCAGTGAGGTTCCTCTCTATGTCGTCGCCGAAACTCTGTTTTCAGCGGCGACTTTAACAAATAAAAAGCATTTTATATAATTTAGGAATGTTGCATAACTTTTCTTCTTGTTATTCGATTGGCCCCTTTATTATTTTATTTGTCAATTTTTCACCTAAATTTTTTTTTTTGTTCGTGTGATCAGAATATCAGACCAACTGGCATTTGATCTGCAATTAAACCGATTAAACCAATTAAAACCAACCGGTTCGTTTTATTCATTCTGGTGTTTAACCTCATAAGGGTGTTATCGTAAATACTATGTCCAAACTAATTCCTTCATGTATAAGAGTATCTCCAATGTAAAACTCCATTTTTTCCTCCAATGGAGTAAAAGAGAATATGGAGTAAAAATATTCTAACCCCACTCCATTTTTCACTCCATAATAGAGTGATGAACAAACAAAAAACAGATTACTCCGAGTAAAATCTATTATGGAGTAGAATATGGAGTAGGGTTGGAGTGTTTTCTACTTCATATTCTATTTTACTCCATTTTAGAATAAAAAATGGAGTTGGGTTAGAGATGTCCTAATGCAGCAATTTGAGTTTTGTAATAAAAACATGGAATAAAAAACTACTTATCTATGACCTATTTTGCTTCTAAACAATACAATCATAATATTCATACAGAGTATAACTTGTTTGCTGCCTTCTTTTGATCGCCGCTGATACAGTTAAGAACCAATTCACATGTCGTTGGTTGTGAAGAACAACGGAAAAGCTTTGAGTATTCAGAAACATAAACTTATGGAAATGTTTTTATATATAAAAACTTCTGTTCTACATGATCTTTGCACAAATCATTAAAGCTTAATCAACCAACACAATTTTAATCTGAGTTGGATACTTTGCTAGATTCATTCATACAAGCAAAGATTGATTTCATCTCTGACCAAAGACTGAGCATAACCAACAAATGGCTAATGATCTTGAAGTTCAAACAATATTTGACTAATCTGGCTAGCCGGAAAGCTTAAACTTTGACAAGGAGATGTTAAAGAGTAAAAAACAAAATCCGAATTAAGCCTGGAATTTATTATCTGCAACCGGAAATAGAAGATTCGTTAAATGAAAGATGAAATCTGATAATAAAAGTTTTTAATCTTAAACAAAAGAAGATCATAGATCATCAAAACTAAAACAAAAAGAGAAACGACTAGAGATTTAATAGTTCCAAAACAGTTCCAGATCTAATAGTCGGACTGACATTTGGTTTTACCTGGCCCATTACATCCAGCCAAGCAAATTGTGTTCCTGTCATTTGCTTCCTCCAACTAGAGTTTTGTAATCACGCAGTGAATATGTTTTTTTTTTTTGTATTAGAAGGAATTAGTGGCTTCATATATTTTAGGAAGTTATTAGTAATTTGTTCATATAAGGAAATTAAAGATTTGGTTTTAATATTTTAGTTTACATATCTGCAATACTGTTTACAGTTTTTTCAAATAAACTTTTCAACAATGACATCTTGCATTCAACTAAATTATTGATCAGTCATAATGATATGAGGATACGCAATAAATTATTTTGACCATATTAACATGTGTTATAGATTTATTTCATATAATACACGCAAAAAAATTCAAATACAAAATTTGTTTACTCACAACTTTGGAAAGTCAAAATCAATGATATAAGAAATCCCAAGACCAAATGATAAATAAATGGAACCTCTCTTCCAACCCAAATCAAAAGCAAAAGATCAGCATTTTAGCTTCTCGATACAGTTAACATAAGAAAAATACTATACAATGGGCGTCACAAGAGCTCAGCTTGCTTTTCTTGTTTTAGTAGTATTTGTAACTTTTTTCTCCAGCCAAAATGTTTCGGGTGCAGGTATGTTTAAATTTTTATTTAGTTATTACAAAATTGTTCTTGATCATTTTAAACAGTAGCTAGATATGCTGAATTTGTAATGACCAGGTTTTGTGGTTTTGGATGTGTTACAGAGATGGAAAAGAAGTTTTCATATGACCACTGCACTATTTTTTGTTCGGCTGACTACGAATGGCATGAGTGTTGGGTTGACTGCCTAAACAGGGGCTATCACAATGGGGACTGTGCTTCTCCTTCTCCTAATGTTCCTAAGAAATGTTGTTGTCAAACTTAGAAAATATTGCCATGAAACTCATTCCCTTATGCAGCAATTCGAGTTTTGTAATAAAAAAACATGGAATAAAAATCTACTTATCTATGACTTATTTTGTTTATAAACAATAACAATTAAACAATAGTAACACATTCACTCTCCTTCAATATGGAAAAAAATAAGAAACGTTTTGATATCAGCTTCAATCGAATGCTTCTTGAAACTACCCTTTTCTTAATATAAGTAAATGAAAGTCCTTGGAGAATCAGTCGCACAAGCATTTGCACGAGGGAGTTCTGTTTTATTAATTATTGCCAAGAGTAATTACGAGATGATGTTATCAACAACCAGGTTCCTGTGGACTTTGTTATAAGCAATGCTTATAACGGTAGGTTTTTCCATTTCTTCAAGAATGCTATTCTCATAATCTTTGTTCGCTCTCTGCAGGAGTTAACATGTCATCAGTTACTGCATGCATTTGTTCGACGAAGAAATAAATGTTTTCACCTTCTATCACTGGCGAGTTCCATGGTCAGGCATACGTTGGATGCGGCCGATCTTTGTATTTTGCATTACTGTCTAGCGAATACACAATCATTTCTAGTTGCATTATCTGGCTTGCTAGACTGGGAATAATAGCTCTGCTGGTTTCATTTTTAACCATTGGAAAAAAGCCTGTGTACTGATTAATAATTCTTGTAGATTTACGTATGACTGTCTTTATTCAGTTACTAACTCTTTGTGCAAAATGCTCAGGACTCCTGGCGTAACCTAGCAAATGCTTTTGCAAATGACAAAACTGTAACCCCCGACTGCCCACGGCTAATGGGCCACCCACGCCCGCTTTCTCGGCCCGTGGGCCCATCCCATTCCAACGGTCGGTTCGTTAATTTTCCAAGGCTCTAGAGTCATGTTTACTGACCCTGCAATCACCACCCGACCTTTCCCCGTGCTTTGGCCTCACTTACACGGTATCGCAAATCACTTCCCGATAGGTCACCTATCCTTTGACTACTCCAGCTCAAGCACGCTTAACTCTAGAGTTCTCTGGATGTGCTCCCGAAAAGGTAAGTGCACTTTGGTGACATAGGTAACCAAATCAATTCTCTTAAACCTTTCCAAATACCACAAACCGGGATGTTACAAAAACATTGTTCTTACTAAATGGTGTTAGTCAGGTATAGTTTTCTGAAATTTGCATTGTGGCCAATTTGTACACGTGTTTCGTGAAATGGTGCTACTTCTATTCAGCGTTCGTTGGCTCAAACGCTTGTTCTTTCTGCTTATGGAATGCGAAGTTCAGATGCATCAAATCAGTGAGTTTCCAAATTCTGCCAACTTCGCTCACATCTTAACTGTAAATCTGGGCTTACCAAAAGTATGTGCCCCTGTCTCTCCCTCACTTCTCTGTTCAGACTAAGCCTCATTGCAGACCAGATAAATGTTTTTGTACCCTCACATACACTTACTCTTTTCCACCTCAGATTTACGCGCTCTGCTTCAGCTACTCTCTCATCTGTGCTCAAAAGATATGGTTAACTTTTTTTTTGCACTCACTGTATGAACTTGTTACTAATTCCCCAGTATTTCCTTATCTTCTAACTAATGGTACTACCTTTTTCAGGTTGACTTCTCATCGGACAGTATCGAGACACAAAGCACAAATATATCCCAGTTAAAAATCAAAATTAATTAAGATGAAATTCTGCAAGAATGGTATGTGTAACTCTTCGAACTTCTTACAGGTGGGTATACTTTGGTCTCCATATAATCACGCCACTTATAACATTGGAACTCCTCAAATACCCAAAGCTTTGTTTCGATGTAAGTCCTTGAATCTACCATTGACTAATCCAATCACGATAGTTTTTTACTGTTATAAACTTTCACTTGCAAATTCTGCAGTATTTCTCGCTCATATCACATATGCTCGAGGTTTACCCGGAGACACTCCCACAACTCAACAGTGATGCATTTTACCATCTACTTACAACAGTTGACTTTGGTCTTCATCAGCAGGTGAAGTGATGAAAAACTAAATCCCTTTTATTCTTGATTTCAAGAATGTTACAGTAAATTCTTTTGGCGAGTGTATTTTTTTTTCGAAAAAAAAGAATGTTACAGTAAATTCTATCTGTTGATATTCTTATCAGGATGTAGATATAGTCACGATGTGCCTTAGAGCTCTAGAGGCACTTGCTTCATATCACTATAAAGAGATAAAAGCTGGTAACATTGGTTTGGGTTCACACGCTGCTGAACACATAGATCCAAATGGAGTATTCCACGAATGAATCCTGAGCCGGTTCCTTCGTACATTGATTCATTTTCTTCTATTCGTTACTTAATACATAGCCTTATGGTTTACTCTAAAGTTTGTTTACATGTTTCTTGTTACAGTACCGACCTAGTTAGTAAAGGTGCAGATGCATTGTTCCCTCTTATCCTCTGTGAACCAAACCTTTACCAGGTCGGCCTTTAAGTTCTCTCTTAAAAACATAAACAGAGTTTCCATGTCTGAAACCACTGTAACTAAGCGGTTTGTGTTATTACTTCTAGGGATTGGGCAACGAACTGGTTGAGAAGCAGGGGAACCCCAACTTCAAAACGAGGCTAGCGAGCGCTCTTCAGGTGCTCACAACGTCGAACCAGCTATCCTCAACCTTGGACCGTCTCAACTACCAAAGATTCAGGAAGAACCTCAACAACTTTCTCACTGAAGTTCGTGGGTTTCTGAAGACTAGGTGATCATATTTTAATCAAATACAGATATCTGATTGTAGTTTTGCATATCGTCAAACGTTAAATTTGTGATACAAATGCAGAAAAATAGTGGACCTTTTTAGTGGTTAATGTCTTAATGATGTGGCAGAAAGAATTACGATTTCATATAAATTTTATACCATAGCACTACACTACTACCTGATTATAATTACAAAACTTTATAACAATGAAATCTTGCATTTAACTTGGATATTGATTGGTGATGTACAATTGTACATTCAATAAACTCTCTTTCACCAAAATTTTAGGTTATCGAAAATAC